TATATTCTACCAAAAGGTTGATTCTACAATCACTGTGTATAATGTTGATTGTCTCCTAACTAATATTGCTAACGACTAGCATACTATCATATAATTAATTACATGTCTATGCTATAGAAATTATCCATCTTGAAGGTATGGAAGTAGATTCTATTAATAAATTGTGCTCCATCTACTTGTCCTAATATCTGAATGTTGGTCTTAGTCATTCTTAGTAAATCACATCAAATGACCAACACAATATTGTTAGACTAAATAAAGTTAAAATTGAATCAAGTGGTAATAAGTAGAGTTAATTCATCAACATTATATATTATCAAGTATAGAAGATATTCTTTTGCCACTAGTTCGCTAATACCGCATATTCAGGAATTATACACCATTCAAAATTGCAAACAAGCACAACCAATATATTTCCTCTAGAACATGATATGTCGAAGACATTCTTAACAATCGTTTCATTAAAAATTAATAACTACAAATTAAATGACTATAGTTTTCCATGATAATGTCATCCATGCATAAGAACATTTATGAAAAGCAAAACCAAATCGTGTAAGACATTTTTAATATCCCATATGTAGACAAACATATACATATTTTTCAATTGATTTTTAACATGTACATAAATTAACTTGAAACTAGTCATCAAGCATAAATGCATAATATGCCACCATATCTAGACCGATCTTCCATTTAAGGCACAAATAATATATACAATGACAGTTACTCATGCAAGTTTGCTAACTTTAGAATAAAAATAAGATGAAGTAGTGGCTAAGCTTTCCATTATGTCAGACTTTGCTAAGTTTAGAACAAAAATAAGATGATGAAGTACCTGATGTTCTAGATGATTGAACTTCTAAGTTTAGAATAAAAATAAGATGGCATAGTGGCTAATGTCCAAGATCAATGAACTTTTCTAAGTTTAGAAGGAAAAATAATATGATGTATTGTCTAACGCTCCACCCTGGCACGACTCCAATATCATTCCAGATAGTCCGGGCTCACCTCCACTATCATTCCAGATAGTCTTCCTCTCCGGGTGTTAACACCCATACTTGGTTCCATATCAATACATAAGTAGCAACAAATTAATGCATATTAAATGTATTCCAAAGATTACAAAATTGGCTAGTATATGCCAATATCTCAAACAAATCATAATGGAAATAATATCTTTAGAGTCATTTATGAACATAGAGGAAAAATGATCTAAAAGTAATAGCACTTTTTAACCTAAATGGGTTTGCTTGGTTGCATCCAAACCCAATAGTAGTAGGGAGGGAGATGAATGACCTGCAAGTCTGCTACATGGTGAAAAATAATCCAAGAATTTAAATTAAAACAAAATATTCCAAAAACTGTACTCAATATATTCTATTTAATATAGGTCAATAGATATTTTTCTAAAACAATTTAGTATCTATGTAAACACATAATTATAAAACCATAAATATATAAATTTTAGCGTACAAACAAAAAGTTTAGAATAATATTACCTAGGAGTACGCTTATATTATTTCAGAACCAACTTACAAAACTAAAATAAAACAAAGCTCGTTAGTTTATATGGTCATTGGTTATGCTTTTGCTAAATTCATTTGATGGTTATTTCTTTAAGATCGTCGGTTCCACTTTTACCCGCGAATAAACTGATCAAATCGAACAAATTGATCAAGTAACGCTCTAGCTAAAACGCCCAGAGAATGCGCATGCCGAGCAACCGAGGGTTATCTCCTCTCTTGATCCTCTACTATATATTTCTTATTAAGACGCTATCATGTATCCACACCCTAGTTCGACCAACCAAATCCCATCGCTGCCAAGTACGCCGTCTACCTTTGCCATGTGGGGAGAGGTACCACGGAGTGACTGCTATGCGAGGTGCTGATCAAGGCGTGCATGAGTTCTATTGTTCCATGAGGTGGCAAGATATATAGTGCTACATGAGGTCCGCGACTCACTATCTTCCATGTTCGATATTGTTGGTATTCCTTGTGAGTTCATACTTGTCAATACATTCATACTTTTCTCTATGTTGGTCACTTGCCTAATTGCTCGGTTCCTTGCTCGATTTGTTTACTTAATCCGGTGCACTGCTTGATTCGGTGGATTATTTTCCCGGCACACATTCAAAGTAAGTAAACAATAATAGCAAAATACCAAATCAAACTATTTCAGTTTTCCTAGCCGTAATTTTTGTGGCCATATTTGGAAAACCAAATTTTTAAGCAAAGAAACTGACCAAAACAATCAAATTCCCAACTTGAATTATCATTACTAGTTCTAAGGAATAATTGAAAATGACTAGGAGAAAAATACATAATGTTTTAGTTTGCATAACAAATTTGTCCGAAAGCTACCATAGCTACATTTCTAATTATCGGTAGAATTGTGTTAAATTTTCTCTGTTTAATATAATATGTTACAAGGTCTGTACTTGCAGAGAAAACTGAAAAACATTTTGATTGCAACACTGCAATCATTTGAAATGATGTTTGAAAATAAATCCCAAGTGGATTATCCATATTTAATTATCACAACGTATAATCGTTCCACACATTTTCAAAGGCTACACATTTCTAGCATAGTAACATAATTTCCCTATTTTAATATTTAGAGATAACTCATGGCCCAATACATTATGATGTTGCATTAGTCTAGAAAAAATATAAAATATGGATTAGTCAAACTTTTCTGAAACATTATGAAGCTGACATAACTGATATCCTTTGTTTATTTGGTCTTTGGGTTTTACTTTTGTATTCAATGTTGAGTTGTCCATCAGATTCCTACCCATCATAAACCATTCTAACCAAACAAACGGTAACAATTATTCCATACTTGAGTAAAAAAAACAATTATTCCATACAATATTAAAGGGTAGACAAACAATAACAATTATTCCATACAATTTTAAAGGCTAGAATTTCTAATAAACCAACAATTGTATTTTGCCAACATAATTTTGTCTAACTTTAGCCATATTTATGGTACAAGAGCCGTCAAAACATATCCACCAAACTTATAGATGCAAGACACAAGATGTGTAGATCGTAGAGAAAACATAAGAAGATTAGTAACGCCACAAGGCCCACAACTTTAAGCATGCTTTCATCCAACTGCATATTTACATGACTTGCATCGTCCTCCAAGCTTGTAGAAACATATAAATAAATAGGTTGAATGAAGGGATATAAAGATTACATATATTTAAAACATCATGACTTTTAACATCCTTTCTCTTATACATATTTACAGTGCTAGAATCATCCATAAAACTTATAGATGCACGTAACTAGTTATTTATAAACATAAATGCATGAAGAATCCTCTATTGGATTTATAAATGGGTGGAACTAGATATGCTCATGTTGAACAAAAACAAAGAAAAAGAGTAGTAAAGTACCAGCATAACAACGCTCACTCCATCTTTTTTATATAATTTTGAGAAACCCTCATGGTTCAATTATTGCATATTTTAAGTTATAGTTTTTAAAAACCCTCATGGATCTATACGTATGTACTTTACGTAACAATTTTGAAAAACCCACATAAATATATTAATACATCTTTTATGTTTCAATTTTATAAAACTCCCGTGGCCATACGTTTTTTACGTTGTAGTTTTGAGAAATCCTCTTTGCTCTATTTGTACGCTTTTTACGTTATAGCTTTGAAAAACCCTCTTATCTCTATTTGTACATCTTTTATGTTACAAATTTTAAAAACCCCTATGAATATATTAATACATCTTGTATGTTGCAGTTTTATAAAACCTTATTGCATCTTTTACATTATAGTTTTGAAAAACCCTTGTAGTTCTATCTATGTGCCTTTTGAATTGCGATTTTGAAAAAAAAATGTAGGCCTATGAGTATGTGTTTGGTATCACGATTTGGGAAAACCTTCATAAATTTATTTTTTGAAAGGAACCTTCATGAATTTATTATTATATCTTTTGTGTTATGGTTTTGAGAAACTCTCATGGCTTTATGTCTTTTGTGTTACAATTTTTGACAAACCCCTAATACCTTTATTAATTCGTATTTGTTACAATTTTTGTAAAAAAAAAACTAATGGCTATATTAGTTTGTCTTTTACTTTTAGGTTATAGTTGTGACAGAAACCCTCATGGCTGTATTAATACGTCATGTCAATTGACGTACGTAACATTAATCAAACTAGCTACAAGTCCAATCATCGCAATCGCTCCTTCAGCATTATAAACTATCCATCACCAAAATACTTCACACGTAAACCGCCTCTAATTGTCATCAACTTAGGCAAAAAAAAAAAAACACCACCACCACCACTGCATCAGCTACTAGCACACAACCAAATCATCACATTGTCTCTTCTTTCTTATATCCACCACATTTTTCTTTTCCTTTATTTATGTGCATCACATTTTTCCTTTCTCCATACTCACCACATTTTCTCTCTCTCTCTCTTGGCCCCATCGTTTGTCTTTTCTTTTAATAAGCCAAAACGGCTTATTAGAGAATAAAAATAAATTTATAGGTAAAACTTTTATATATGTATTCTCGGTGACTTAAAAACCAATGCTGAAAAAGAAACTACGTTGAAAATATCTCAAAATTAATATCAAAATTAAGTTTGAAAATTTAAAATTTAGCTTTTTCTTTAGCTGAATAGACCATCCGATGGGAGCCTCTATCTCTATCTCTCTCTAAACCCAATGTACGGCATTTTCTTTTGACACACATGCACACACATTGTACAGGCAACCCCTCCTCCCAGAAATAGAAGTACAGGAGCATGGAGAGGAGAGGGAGGGGTTTCCGGCCCCTTTGCATTTGTGCCTTGGCGGGCGCAGGGGCGGAGGAGGCGCGGACAGAGAGAGAGGGGGGAAAAAACCCGACCCGTTTGGCCTTAAATGGCTCCAGCTGTTCCCATCCAAACCCACCAGAGATGCACTGTAGAGAGAGAAAGAGAGAGTGGTCGACGGGGCGCCGTGTTTAAAAACCTCGGCCCTTATTTCGCACCGGTTACTACTCTACTGCTGCTGCTTCTGCTACTGCACTACTACTACACTCATACTCTCTTCTCTCTCCTGTTCTTGATTTTCTCTCTCCTCCTCTACGCGAGGAGAGGAGCTAGCTAGCGCACACCAGCGGCAGCAGCAGGAGAAAGATTGGCACGAACAGTCCAGAAAACTAGTAGTAGCAGAAGAGGATACAGGGAGAGAGATCAGATAAGCGAGCGTTTCTGATGATGGAGAGGAGATAGAGGGATAAGCGCGAGCAAGATTGGAATCAGCGTGGTGGTGGTAGGGGAGGGGATGGATGATATGGCGTGACGGAAGGGGGGGTTTGGATTGGATGAGTTGAGGTGCCTGCAAATTCCTTCCTGTTTTGGATCGCTGTGAGTTGGGAATTCCTGTATAAATACGGCCCCGAGAGGGGACGCAGAGATCAAGAACAGTGCAAAGATCAATCGATCCATCCATCTCTCCCCCTCCTCCTGCTGCTGCTGTTGTTGCGAGAGAGAGAGAGAGAGAGAGAGAGAGAGAGAGAGAGAGGAAGAGGCAGAGGTAGTAGCAGCGGCGGCGGCCATGGATTTCGGCGACGAACCCGAGGGCTCCGACAGCCAGCGCCGCCGCAAGCGCTACCACCGCCACACGCCTCGCCAGATTCAGCAGCTCGAGGCGTACGCGTTTTCTCTATTTTTTTTTCTGCTGTTGTTCTTCTATGTGTTGTTGGCTTTCGTCCGCCATGGCGGCGGCGCCATGGATGGAGGGATGAAATGGTGCGTGTGTTTGTTTCCCGTGTTGTGCAGGATGTTCAAGGAGTGCCCCCACCCGGACGAGAACCAGCGGGCGCAGCTTAGCCGGGAGCTCGGGTTGGAGCCGAGGCAGATCAAGTTCTGGTTCCAGAATCGCCGGACCCAGATGAAGGTAAATTACAAGGAGAATTCCGATTGGTTTTCTTGATTGATCGATCGATCGCCATGGATTCCGGCGTGCGTGCTTGCTTCCTTCCGTTCGTTTCTTGCGGGGAGGATGATGATATCCATGGTGTGGGGTTTGCTGTTTGCAGGCGCAGCACGAGCGGGCGGACAACTGCTTCCTCCGCGCCGAGAACGACAAGATCCGGTGCGAGAACATCGCCATCCGCGAGGCCCTCAAGAACGTCATCTGCCCCACCTGCGGCGGCCCTCCCGTCGGCGAGGACTACTTCGACGAGCAGAAGCTTCGCATGGAGAACGCCCGCCTCAAGGAAGAGGTAATGCCCCGCCTCCGCCGCCGCCGCCGCCGCCGTCGACGACGCGGTTTGCTTTGCTTTGTTGATGTTTCTGATGATGTGTTTTGTTGCGGTGTTCGTCCGGCGAACGTGCGAGCAGCTGGACCGCGTGTCGAACCTGACGTCGAAGTATCTCGGCCGGCCGTTCACGCAGCTGCCGCCGGCGACGCCGCCGATGACGGTGTCGTCGCTGGACCTGTCCGTGGGCGGGATGGGCGGGCCGTCGCTGGACCTGGACCTCCTCAGCGGTGGCTCGTCGGGGATCCCGTTCCAGCTGCCGGCGCCCGTGTCCGACATGGAGCGGCCCATGATGGCCGAGATGGCCACGCGCGCCATGGACGAGCTGATCCGCCTCGCGCAGGCCGGCGACCACATCTGGTCCAAGAGCCCCGGCGGCGGCGTGTCCGGCGGCGACGCCCGCGAGACCCTCAACGTCGACACCTACGACAGCATCTTCTCCAAGCCCGGCGGCTCGTACCGCGCCCCCAGCATCAACGTCGAGGGGTCCCGCGAGTCCGGCCTCGTGCTCATGAGCGCCGTCGCCCTCGCCGACGTGTTCATGGACACGGTAATCAAGCTGTTCGACGCCACAACCATTCTCCATTTTGCTCATTTGATTGATTGGTTCATCGCCATCGCAGAACAAGTGGATGGAGTTCTTCCCAAGCATCGTGTCCAAAGCTCACACCATTGATGTGCTCGTGAATGGCATGGGAGGGAGAAGCGAGTCCTTGATTCTGGTAAACCCACATTGCCATTGCCATTGCCATTGCATCAATCGAGCAAATTCTTTTGTGAGTTTTTTCCATTTTGATCTTGTGATGTTTGTGTTGTGGGTGTAGATGTACGAGGAGCTGCACATCATGACGCCGGCCGTCCCGACCCGGGAGGTGAACTTCGTCCGCTACTGCCGGCAGATCGAGCAGGGGCTATGGGCCATCGCCGACGTCTCCGTCGACCTGCAGCGCGACGCCCACTTCGGCGCGCCGCCGCCGCGCTCCCGCCGGCTCCCTTCGGGGTGCCTCATCGCTGACATGGCCAATGGCTACTCCAAGGTATACGCGATGGACAATGTGCCGCACGCAATGGTGTTTTGGTTTCGGCTCGCTGACGACGTCGCGCACGCTCGCGTACGCGCAGGTGACCTGGGTCGAACACATGGAGGTGGAGGAGAAGAGCCCGATCAACGTGCTGTACCGTGACCTCGTGCTGAGCGGCGCCGCGTTCGGGGCGCACCGCTGGCTCGCCGCGCTCCAGCGCGCGTGCGAGCGCTACGCCTCCCTCGTCGCGCTCGGCGTCCCGCACCACATCGCCGGTGGTATGCACCCGTCGAGCGCTCGACATCACAGTCGTCGTTGCGTTTTTCTCTCGCCATGACACTGACATTGTCCGGGCTCGCCATGGTTGGGCACGCAGTGACGCCGGAGGGGAAGAGGAGCATGATGAAGCTGTCGCAGCGGATGGTGAACAGCTTCTGCTCGAGCCTGGGGGCGTCGCAGATGCACCAGTGGACGACGCTGTCGGGCTCCAACGAGGTGAGCGTCCGCGTCACCATGCACCGGAGCACGGACCCCGGCCAGCCCAACGGCGTCGTCCTCAGCGCCGCCACCTCCATCTGGCTCCCCGTCCCCTGCGACCACGTCTTCGCCTTCGTCCGCGACGAGAACACCCGCTCCCAGGTCAGCCATCCACTCTCTCCGCCATTGATATCGCTCACTCACTCACTGTGCCCGCCATTGCTGCTGCTGCAGTGGGACGTCCTGTCGCACGGCAATCAAGTCCAGGAAGTGTCGCGCATCCCCAACGGCTCAAACCCGGGGAACTGCATCTCGCTGCTAAGAGTAATTAGCCCTAATTAACCCTCTCCATGATCGCATCTCCAAACCTTAAACCTCGAAATGCCATGCTGCGGCGAGTTTAATGCGATTACGTCGTTAATGGCGTCGTCTCGATCTGCAGGGCTTGAATGCGAGCCAGAACAGCATGCTGATACTGCAGGAGAGCTGCACGGACGCGTCGGGGTCGCTGGTGGTGTACTCGCCGATCGACATCCCGGCGGCGAACGTCGTGATGAGCGGTGAGGACCCGTCGAGCATCCCGCTGCTGCCGTCGGGGTTCACCATCCTCCCCGATGGCCGCCCGGGCTCGGCGGCGGGGGCGTCGACCAGCAGCGCGGGGCCGCTCGCCGCCGCGCGCGGCGGGGGCGGCGGGGGCGCTGGCGGCGGGTCCGTCGTCACCGTCGCGTTCCAGATCCTCGTCAGCAGCCTGCCGTCGTCGAAGCTCAACGCCGAGTCTGTCGCCACCGTCAACGGGCTGATCACCACCACCGTCGAGCAGATCAAGGCCGCGCTCAACTGCTCCGCCCATGGCCACCACCCCTGATCGCCGCCGCCGCCGCCACCGAGCTCGCCATTGCATTGCACCCGCTTCGCCATCATCGGAGGAGAGAGAGTTGGTTGGCGCGTTGAATGCTCGCATTCATGGACTCCACCTGCTGCTGCTGCTGCTGCTGCATCTGAAGCTGATGCAACTCTCTCTCTATCTATCTCTCTCTTTCGCCCATCCATTATCCAGCTAGCCATGATCCATCCATCAAACCATGCATCGTTAAAAAAAAATAACTCTTGTTTAGGTTTTCGTTGCATTTTTGCATATCTTTTTTTTTCTTTCTCCTCTCTCATCAGATTGCAGGAATTTCATTCGGGTTTTTTTTATTTTTTTTTCATTTTCGATCGCTCTTAGGCATTTATGCAAGTCAGTCAATCAATCAGTTTTCAGGACATCACCAATCAACCAATCAACAGAAGGCTTTCAGAACGAGGGAGTCAAGAACGCACCATGCTTGTCACTTTTCCTCTTGTTGTAACCACCAAATCACACACCACCACCATCACAAACCACAAATTTTCTTTTCCTCTTTCTTTTTCACCCATTGGATTTGTTCCGTTTTGATCATATCATCATCCATGCATCATCATCCATCCATCCATATGCATCCTTGTCACCTCGCGCGTTGTCGCTGGTGTTGTAGCAGCAGAGGATGAATGGTTCGGGTATTGACTTCTGTCCATTAATGTAAAGCCTTCAATGAACATTCATTTCGGTTATAAATGGAAAGAGAAAAAAACAAACAGAGAGTGCTGGTAAAGCTGGATGATGCGTTCATGCCCCCTGCTTCCCTTTTTCTGGCCCCTGTTTATTACTCTACTCCTCCTCCTCCCTCCTCTTATTACCCATCTAACCATACATTTTTCTTCTTAAAATTATCACATTATCACTGCAAACCATTTTAAATTTTCTCTTTTTTTCTGAACGGTGATATGTGTGATTGGATCATTGGAGAAATGTGTGATATGAACGGTGGAGATGAGAGGGTATGTAGGGTTTTTTTTTTCTTGGGCAGGTTCAGTATAAGTGCGGCATTGAAGCACGGTAGCTGCGGCTGCTGGCGAAATGTTTCCAGCGTTTTGATGAGGGGAGCCAGGGCGAGGGGCAGGGGCGGCTGGCTGGCTGGCTGGGTTGGCTGTGGCTGGACGATCGATAGACCGATCGATCGCCTCCGGCCCCGGCCCGGGACCAAATAAGTCTCGACCTACTCTAGATCGCGGCTTAACTAAGTACACCAGCTCGAGCTTAGCTTGCACACGCGCACGCACACACACACTACACTACACTCTACTCTCACTCACTGGCCAGCCAGCTACTGCCTCCGTCCCGGTTTAGTTGTCGCTTTGACTTTTTCTTTACAACGTTTGATTATTCGTTTTATTTGAAAAATGAGTAAAAATATAAAAAAGAATAAGTTATACTTAAAGTACTATTGATAACAAAGCAAATCACAAACAAAATAAATAATAATTTCATAAATTTTTGAATAAGACGAATGATCAAGAGTTACAAATAAAAACTCAAAGCGATGAGTATTTTGGGACGGGGATAGTACCTAGCTAGCTTGTAGCTAGTGTATCTCTGCAACATCTCCCTGTCTCTGTCTCTTGCTATAGCTAATGCTAATAATAACTGCACCACATCAAGATCAAATCAGAATTGATCAGAAGAAGGATGAAGTGTTTTGTTGGAGTGGTAGAGACGATGTCTGGTCAAAGATTATTGGAGGAAGGAGAGGGGGGAAGAGATACTAGCTTCATGTGTATATATGGATAGATATAGTTTGGCTAAATTTGTGGGTTGGAGATATGGGTTTTTGGGAGCGTTTCCGGGGAGGTATCTTTTTTGGGGGTTTTTGGGTTGGTTTTTGCTTGGAGAATATGTGTACGACAGTATTGAATGAGGCCTTAAATTTGCCATACTGTTGCGGCAGCGTAGAGCTCGTAGTTGTCATTATCCCTGCCCATCTTTTCAGTGCTTTCTGGCCCAAATTTTTGTCCGTGTTCTTAAATGCCCCGCGAATTGCACAACTTGTATATAGGAGTATGTATGTGTATGTAGCTAGAACGTTAGTATATATACGGAATGCCATAAAATTAAAAGGTGTTCTAGCTATCTATTAGCTGAAATTTAAAGTGTACCAGTAGTGTGTGCTCGCTCGGCTGCTGCTGCTCTATTTCCGGTCTAAATGCAATCCTCTCATCATTTATTTGCCGGTGTTACTATCAAAATTAATCATGTTTTGTTCTCTTGCCCCTGTCTTTTTTATTTATATATCTTGACCATTCCTTCCTTCCTCCTTGGAACGACGACGCCATAATAATTAACTAATTGATTACTAGCTTGTCATCATCGATGATCATAAAAGAAAATCTAAGGTAGTTACAGCTTCGTTTTTTCTAATTAAGATACAAGTATTACCGTGGTTTTTTGTTAGCACGTTTCCAAATTACTAAACGATGTATTTCGTACGAAATATTTCTATATATAATTTGTTTTATAATATCAGATAAATATATTTTTTTAATTTTAAAATAATTAAAACTTAATTAATCATGTGCTGATGGTTTTCTCATTTTACATGTCTGCACTTAATATTTATCTTTAGTGAACTCAAACTGGGCTTATAGTTGCATTATGTCATTGTGCGCGTTGAACAAGAGAGATCATCGAGAGAGTAGTTAATGGCGATGCGAAGGCAAGCATCGGTCATTCGAAGCTCTCCAACTAGAACACTATTCGGCGACGGCACGGATAACCTAAGCATAAATGCCGACGAGCGAGGCGCTGGCACGCGTGGTTGCATATACAAGGACATGTTGGCCTCGCGAGAAATCGTCACGAAACGGTGGTGGCGCCACCGGCACCCGGGCCCACGGGTCAGCGACCGATCGATCGATCGCGACGGTCCGGTGAGGAGTCGGCCCGTACACTAGAAGCTACTCCCTCCGTAAAAAAAAAAGACAAACCGTATCTAACATTTTACCATCCGTTTTATTTAAAAAAATATGAAGAAAATTAAAAAACAAGTCATAAAGTATTAATCATGTTTTATCATCTAACAACAATGAAGATACTAATTATAAAAAAAATTCATATAAGACGAACAGTCAAATATTGGACACGGAAACCTAGGATTTATCGTTTTTTTAAGGACGGTGGGAGTACACCGTGACCGCCACCTGGGGCCCACTCCCAGAGAGGAAATATATGCATTGGCCTCTCTTCTTTTCTTGCAAATTGCAATGCCCACACACACAGCTGGTTGGTGGCGGCAGGTACTTGATTACGCGAAAGGAACGTACTTGGCCCTTAATAAGCACCTAGCTAGCTGGTCAGCTTACATCTAAGCATGTGAAATTAAATTAGTCCAACTAGTCAAATGTCTCGTGCAATTTGTGCCGTTTGAAATAGTATATTGTATTTTCTATGCAAACTATATGTATATGTCTATTAACATCTCTCATTGTTTGTTCATTAGTTTATCAGCCTTCGCTAAAATTTGAATTTTAAAACTTTATTTTTAGAGTTAATTTTGAGTTTTTTCAACATGTTTTTTTTACATTGACTTTTAAAACCGCTAATAACACATATGTATATTGTATACAACATCACTAACTCACCGTCATTATCTGAATCTATAAGGCTATAATAACTATTAAATTGTGCAATTCTTACTTTCTTTTTCTCCGATTAACTTAGAACCTCAAATGTAGCTTTTTTTAGCACCCACTTTTTTTTAGAATTACACAGTATAACGCAGACACTCACAACGCACGCGCACTCACCCTACGCACGCAAACCCTACCCTATGAGCATCTTCGAAGACTGGGCCGGCAAATCCTGGAGAGATTGACGAAGTCACCACAGGTGCCTCGCTGTCGACGGGTACGTCGCCTACTACTGAAAGCACAACGCCGTTAATTCCTGGAAAATTCGCTCCTATGGGGAGTCGAACCCAGGACCTCAGGTGCTACTGAGACTCTTGTAACCACTAGGCTACAGGCCCTTTCGCGCATGCATGACATTAATTAAACATATATACTGTCAGTTACAAATGTTGATTTTTTCTAAAAAAAATTGTGGACGCCTTAATAGTTTAGGACACCGGGGCATTTCAAAAGAAAATATAAATTGCACAGTATGTTTTGGTGCTATTGGTTTGGGAATTTCACTGAATGTTAGATGATATTGTTCTATACGTACATTAACTTTCAGAAAAGTTCATTCCCTGTTAATTTGCACTTGGTTGGGGCATTATATTCTCCGTTTCCTAAAAAAGTATTATTTATTTATGGATCCTTGTATTACTAAAGTGAAAACAGGTAATACATGATTCCATATTGGCCGGGTAAGAGTTCGTCCATTAGTGGTTACAAATTTACACAAAAAAGATAAAAATCATTCTCTCCATTTGCATAAAGCCATTATTTACGATCATATATAGATCTAACAGTTTTAAATTACTCCTTTGATATAAATACTTATATGTTTTGACTTAATCATATACAAATTTGACCACTGTTTTTTAGTATAAAAATGATTAGCTCCAAGTGTAGAATATTAGTGCACCATTATTGACTACAATAATCTAACTATACCACATTTATATTACAATATAATTACATAGTTTTAAAGTTATTGTTGGGTCAAACCTTTATTGGCCAAAGTCAAACTAAAAAAACCAACAAGTTATAATTCCTCCGGGTCATGAATACTCTACATGCAGTGTCCATGTGAGTATTTGTAAACAAAGATAGTATATACTTCCTCAGTTTCACAATGTAAGACTTTCTAGCATTGTCCATATTCATATAGGTGTTAATGAATATAGGCATATATGTGCGTCTAGATTCATTAACTTCTATATAAATATAGGCAATGCTAGAAAGACTTACAATATGAAACGGAGAAAGTAGTTGACACGAAGAAAAAAAAATACCGACGACATATTTTCCTGAAGATATAGGTCAATGGCATTGCCCCATTCATGCATGCAGGACTCCAAAGCAGTAGGAAGGGGGATTATTAAAGAGTTCACTACCTTCTGAGGGGGCTTGAAATGTTGGGCCATCTAGATGCATGCAGTGGAATGGCATATTAAACAGTAAAGGTTGCTCCTGATCAAGCCGGCTAGCTACCAGCTTATTTGGACCCATCCAATCTTGGACTAATGATACTAGTTGGCGATGGATGGATGCATGGACGCACACATATAATGTGTGTACATATAAATGTACGAATATGGTCCCTGGTGATGAACAATTTCGCTGGAAATGGGCGAGCTGTGATCCGGTGGCACGCCCTTAACTCCTCCCAGCTCAATCTGCGCAGGCTAATGAGTTGCCCTTGCTCAGCCCTGCCCCCTAGCCTGCACGAATCGCAGCGCGCCAAGTGTCACGTGTCCCTATTTCTTGCTGTTTTTGCAGATTAGCATATACTGTGATTCATTTCTTAACAATTATTTTAAAATAGAAAAATGCATTTGCATTTACCATATATTGTTGTATCAGTTCTGTTATTTAACCGGTCGGTTTTATTACAATCTAGATCCACATATATGATCAATTCTCTCACACGGTCAATATGTATATAGGCTAACGAGTTTTACTCTTATCGTCCCCTATCTCTAGCCTGCACGAATCGCTACGCACAATTTCTCAATATAATTCTTGCCTAGGGATGATATTTGCCAATGCTACACAGAATATTGACGAATTTTACGTACGTTGCACCTCACACATGCAAGTGACATTCCCA